CTGTGCTAGCTATTGGATATATTTTGACTAATTAAGTTCATTGGCAGATCAATTGAATGGGGGGGAAAGGCATGAAGGGCAATCGTGGATGCCAACAACAATGTGGGAGGAGGATGGGACATGGCAGAGGGTGGGGGATGGGGAATCAAGGATGGCAAAACAAAAGGCAAGGTATGCAGGACATAAGAATTGGAAAATTATTTGCTGAGAACATGTATGTTGATGTGCTTGATTGAGCCAATGCACAGTGTATTTTGGATGGAAAATTCATTGGTGTGTTGTGATGGTGTATAGTGAATTAGTGTAGAGAATGAATAAATTTTTAAAAAAAGGTAAAAAAAGAAGAGTTCAGGAAGGGAAATTTGGGAAAATATGGAGAAGTAAGACATTTGAATTACACAGATTTGGTTTGTTGCCTGTTGGTGATGATGTGTATAGTAGTATCAACTCGTCTGTTCTGTGGCATATATCATATCAGCTAGACTCTCTTTACAAACTAAATGATGTATAATGACTGAATGTATAAAAATAATAAATACTAAAAAAGAAAAAAAGAAAAAAAAAAGAAAATGGATCATTATCTACACTTGCCATCCAGTGTCAGAGTTACTTTGTACTTCAATAAGACCATTGTTTTTAACCATCTCCCAGGGAACATTTGACCAAGCCTCAACATACTATTTTTAAAAACATTAAGGGCACAAGAAATGGAGAAGCTCTAATATGTTTGCAAAGCCAAGCAGATATGCAGAAGCAGTAAGAGCAATAAATTATACACAATACTTAACACATCTTTGCAATTGACTAGTAGACTAGTTCCTTTCTGACATGACTTATAGTTTATAAGAAGCCTTGAGGGATTGTTTTTTAATCTTGATTATCAGAATAGATTTTAAAACATATTTAAAAGAAAGCACCTGGTCAGAGATGTCTTGAAAATAGTAAGGATGTTTCAGATTGCTATTTGAAATGTCAATTTTCAAGACAAGAGTGAGAAAAGAGCATTACAATGTTAAAACTTAACAACAGTGTAACAGCGCCCAGTGTACAAAGCACATTTTAAGTCTAAGTAAATTATTATCATCTTATGTGCATAAATTATAATTGTTTGTAGTTTAGATTAAGTAAATTATAGCGTTATAATGGATAAATTACAGACCTGGAAATTGCTATCAGTGCCTTTATCCAAGAGTAATGTATCAGGCTGGTATTCCATGTGCCCACTGGAGCCCCTCCTCTGGCGTGAATTGTTCTTTCTGAAACTGTACAAATGATATTCTGATAACCTAAGCACCACTCCAGGGCTAGAATAACACTAATCTCAAGGAAGTCTCGAAGCTCACAATTGAATGGGTCCCGTGTGTTTATTCATGAAAGAGAAATTATTGTAACATGGTGTCTAAGTAAGCATTGCCAAAGAGCAAAACCTGCTCTGATTTCAGCAAGTAAAGCATAAGAAAATATTCACGGCAGGATATTTATTCATAATATCCCCCAAATGGAAATAATTGAAATATCCATCAGTAGGAGAATGGACATACAAACTATGTATCTCAATAAACTACCATCCCTCACTCCTCTTAAACTCATTCATCCTGCATATGCACTGACCTTTATATTGTTAAGATGATGCACTTTGAATAGAACATAAATTTTGAATTGTTCATTCACTTTCAGTAACATATTTGCCCAGACCTATGTTCTGAGTCAGCTGCTGTAGTCAGCAACATGTATTTATAAATAAACCAGATGTAACATATGCAACATAATGTACACCCACTAGTAATCGCAGAAATCGATAATAACATAATGTCTGACTGTGTTCCCTGAGATTGAAAAAGGAAGCAGATCATTTCATAGAGGATTTGATCAAAGTTTACCATCAGAGGAAACTTACAAAACTGGTCTTGGTACTCAGCAGAATAGCAGACTTAACTTCTTCTGCCAAGCTCGGTCCACCTCTGCCTTGCAGCCTGACCCTGTGTCCTGGGCCAGCCCTTACCTGAACTGCCACCTCTCTGGCTCCAGGGCTTCTGACCCATCATGTGCGACCCTGTACCCTTCCCCAGCAAGTTGAAACACTTGAAGAGCTGCTGACAAATGTGAGAGGGCAATAGATCAAAGGTGGGTAGCTTCCCTACCGTTAAAGGCCAGGGATGCAAGTTACCTATGAGGAAGTCTCAAAGCTAAAGATCAAAGAGCACCAGCCTTCCCATCTTCCCATCTTTAAGGGCAATGGCTGCAGCTTTCATCTCAGTGAGGGGCTCTGAACAACCTCCCCAGGCACGAATGTCAGCTCCCACTCAGGGCTGGTACTGGGTAATTTTAACAAGCTGTGCAGGAGTGAAGGTGCACAGAGATAGCATCAGTTGGCTCACTCACACTCCTACACATAGAAGTTGGTGTCACCGTAGGCAACAAATGGATTATTTTAATTGTGGTCAAATTTAATTGCATAAATGGAAGCCTACTTAAATTTGATTTTCAATATTTATTTTTGCCCATTTTTTCCATCCAAATCAGTCTAACAATTAATTAATTATCTGAAACTACCTAAATATTTTGCTTATAAAATAGCTCCTTAATAAAACTTCCTGTTTGTTTATAAGCCTCTCTCTTCTCTTCAATTAGTTCAAAATACCATAGGTCAGCCAAAGAAGGGCACGAGTTTTAGTTCATTCATTTCTTTAGTGAGTTACTAGAAGAACGAAAAGGTCAAGAGATCGGGTGGTGATACAGTGGTAATACAACTGAACCCACCTGGGGCAAGTCCAGGTATGTGCACACCTGCCCATGAGCTGAGCTGACTGAGACTGGGGAAGGTTTGCAGCATGAAGACCTTGCTGGAGAGCTCTCACTCTCTCTCTTTTTATCTGTCCCTGAAAAAATAAATAAACAAACTTTAAAAATATGTCAAGAAAAGAATGGAGGAGAAGGGTTTGCACAGTGGCTATCTGTCCAGGGGGTGATTTCTCTCTTTCTCTCACTTTCTCTCTCTCTCTCTGTTTCTCTGGTGAGTGCATGTACCCTATAGCAAAAATCTCTCTCTCTAAAAAAAGAAAGAAGAAAATATATATTAAGTAATGAAATTATTCAAAATCAGATCTAAATTTCTAGCTGAACACCACTTTTGAGGCTTGTGAATCTTTAGTTTTATTAGGAAATATTAATTATTACATGTTTAAGAAGCTGAAGATCTCAACAGCCTCACTATTCTTACTGGGAACTTGGGAAAATCGCAACCTGTTTCATGCTACATTTCAAACAAATTTCTTCCTGGTTACTTTTCTGAACTAAATGGTTTCCGTGCATAAAAAGATTAAACAAACAAGTCACTCTAGCTTTGCATAGGTCTCTCCTGTTTCCAGGTTGATGACATTTCAGCTGCCATATGTTATTTGCTTTTGGAAACTATAGAGTTTCCCAGATCATTCTCACAAACAAGATCAGGCGTATTTTAGTGAGAAGGAATGAGGTGCTACATTGAGCCTGCTCTGCCCTGGGCTAGATTAAAGCAAAAGTGTTTGAGAATTTATGATGACTTCATATGTATTGAAATTTCACTCAGTACAATATAATTTTGATTCTCTTTTAGTGAAAAAAAGAAAACGAGTCTTTCATACACTTTGTTCTGTGCGAGGGCTGAAATATATTATTTATTGACAATAAAAGTAACATGTAACTATTAGGTTGTCAGAAAAGTCATGACGTTTTTTTTTTCCTGTTTTTCTATGCAAAAATGCATCATGACTTTTCCAACAACCCAATATTACAATGCTAGGCACAAAGGAAATGCCCAGTACATTTCAATTGATTTACCTGTGAAGTGTGTGAACCTGTATCATCTTTCACAGATTAGGAAGCTTGAGAAATACTACTTATTCAAGAAAGATCTAAAAGATCAGTGCTTGAGTGTCAACTCTATTGTCCTGTTTATATTTAACTGGCTTTTAGTTACATCTACATGAACTTCCATGACACAAATTAAGTAAAAGGAAGATATACATAGAAAAAAAAAAAAAAGACAAGTCAATATCTGAACCCAAAATCAATACAAAGAAGCATTTTTTAACATTTAACTGTGTGTTATTAAAATTTCTCTATGAAGGAAAATGGATCTGGTCCTGATCCTGTAGGAGCTCACAATACACTGAGTTCTGGTCTCTGGAACAAAACTACATATTGAAGAATAAGGTGACTATAATACAGAATGCTCAGAAATGAATGTGGCTTTGTGTTGCGGCTGAATAAATGCTCACTTGGAGTAGGCAGGGACAGAGAGATAGGAGAACTGTTATCTACTCTCTTCTAGGGAAGAAGTGGTTGGGTTTTTTTTAATGTTGTTTTGTTTGTTTGGATTTTTGCCCTTTAGCCCCAGTTTATATTCTGCCAATTTTCCAGAAGGGATCATTTTCCAATAAGAAAGCTCACCAATTCAGTTTTATTAGGGTATATGAGCTTGATATACCATCTATAGTATATTAGCTAATCATTCATTTTTTACACACACAGGCCAAAGTTATGGTGACTTGAGTAGTACTGACATCTTTTGGATAAAGACTTCCCTATATATACACTTACCTGGCAGAGGAGATACCATGATCACGAAGGTGGTTTTCTGAGAGCAAGGCTTATCCATTGCACTCCGGATGTGCTGACCCCTGTGATTTCCTAAATGTGGGAATCTTGACTGCATAATTTATGGTAATGGGGGACTGCTTTCATGCTTTCCCTTGATTTAAAATAACTAACTAACTAATAAAAAATAAATAAAATAAATAAATAAAAAACTTCCCCTTATGACTGATAGCATGATTTTGGATCACACTGCTCAGTTATAAATTGGAAAAATATATACAAAAAAATCATCTAAACCTTGGCCTCTGGAAATGGAGTAAGTTTTATGCAATCCTAAGTGGTTGTTTCAGTATTTAAATAGGTAGCTGTACAGATATTTTTGACTGACTCGCTAACAATTAAACTTTATTAGTATTGAATCAGTTGTGATTTCATTAGGAAAGCAGAAACCACTCTATCTATGTATTATGAATTTGACAGATGCAATAAAGAATTAGAGCTTATACTTCAGTTGAAAGAGATAGGAAAATAGAGATTAGAAAAGCTTCTACCAAAAGTTAAGGGAGTTGCGTCCGAGGGTTAGGGAATCACATCAGCCCAAAGCATTAAAGTGATTGATTAAAGGTCTTACCTGGACGCTGCTTTAATTCTCTCTCTGGTGTTTCTGCAAAGGTCCTGTGTACTAAGAGACTGAAGCCACAAAGCTGATAGTTCTCAGGAGCTCACCTACGACTGCACATCCGGCTGCAACAATAATCAGAAAATAATGTTTTCCTCTTCTTATCCAAGTTTTTTTGTTGTTTTTGTTTTTTGTTTTTGTTGTTTTTTTCTTCATGGGCAAACTCAAACCTGGGACTACTCAGGAAAATGGATTCCAGAACCCAATAGTTTCCAGATTCTTTGCTGGAATACAGAGAAAACCTCAGACTACCTCTAAGGAAGTGTTGGGTGCCCAATTCACCACAGGTGAACCCACAGACAGTTAAATACTGCTTATGACAAGGTATTATAACCTTGAAATAGCATTTGTGCTCCAATTAAAATGGGGAGGATTCTGTGAAGGGAACAATTGTGAGAAAAACATCATATTTTTACCCCCACTTGTAAATTACAAGAACAATAGCATAGAAGAGGCATTACAAACAGATAGGGGATAGAACAAAATAAATGTGACTTTTTTTAATCCAGCATTTTCAGTTTTTGGTTTAAAGAATCCTTTTTCCTCTCATGTAGCACTTGCTAACAAGGTTCCACAGTGCACTTTTATATAAACTCTATTCCAGAGGATGTTTTTTGACATCTTTCAAGATCATTAAACAAATTTATGATTAAATAAAGTATACCAAAAGGCATATTTGTCTTTTTTCCTCCTAGCACCCCACTTAAATCATAGTATTGAAATTTTTTTTTTTTTGGAGAGGTTTTTGCTATAGGGCGCGTGCACTTGCCAGACAGACAGAGAGAGACAGAGAGAGACAGAGAGACAGAAAGCGAGAAATCACCTCCCAGAGGGGATAGTCACACCGCAATCCCTTCTCCTCCATTCTCCTCTTGGGATCTTGGGCACACACACACATGCGCACGCCGTGAGTTTAAGCCACCGGGTCCAGGACGTGAACCGCGGTTGACTACATGGAAGTCCAGCGACATAGTCTTTACACTAACTGCTGGTCCCAATCATAGTATTGAAATTTTTAAAGGCATAAATCACCCCCACAAAAGTAACTAGACGCCAGGAGTGGGAACCAGCAGTTAGTGTAATGGCTATGTCGCTGGACTCCCACATAGTCGACCGCGGTTCGTGTCCCGGACCTGGTGGCTTAAAACTCACACTGGGTGCGTGTGCGTGCATGCCCAAGATCCCAGGAGGAGAATGGAGGAGAAGGGATTGCGACGTGACCGTCCCCCCGGGGGGTGATTTCTCTCTTTCTGTCTCTGTGTCTCTCTGTCTGGAGAGTGCATGCACCCTATAGCGAAAACCTCTCCAAAAGAAAAAAAAAGTAACTAGAAAGAAGATGGCAGAGATGACAAACTTCAGCAGTTTTAAAAGATGGGTAATACACGTAAAATTAACAACTGAGCAGTGCCATTTAAAATATTTAACAACTAAAGCCAGCAGGTGATATACTGGTTAAGGCTCTGGACTTCCACATGATGGACCATGTTTTGAGTCCTGGTCCTGGCACCTTGAAACTCATCCTGTGTGTGTGTGTGTGTGGTCTCTCTGGCAAGTGCATGTGCCTTACAGCTAAAATCTCTTAAAAAAAAAAAGTATATATATATAAAATGTAAACATAAAATATATATTATATTTATTTATTATATAATTTTAAATAATATATATACATGTGTATATATATTTTACAACCAGCATGACTAGGGCACCAGCCAATCAAAAATTCAGAAGAGAAGCCAGAAGATTTTAGAGCTTGTCCTGAAAGCTTTCTGTTGGACCAGATATTAACTCTTTCTTCAACGGATGAATGGTGGAGAGGCATGAGCCCCAGGGGATAAGTTACAGCTTTAGGAAGTGGAAGACACTCTATAGGTTAGAGAATATAATTATTTATGAATTTACAAAGAAATATTTCAGGGGTTTAACAGATAGTAAATCACTTCAGAAAGAAAGTGTTCTAATTAAGGAGACGTGATAAAAGACTTACACTCTGTGTGCATAAAATATCATCTAAGCCTGTATCACAGGCTTACTTTGAGTTATCAAGAGATTTTACTAACCTTAGAAGGAAATGATGTGGTGTATACCTCAATAGTTTGTAAACTAACAAATTCTATATACATACTAGTTAGTTTTTCAGTGTTTGCTTCCCAAAACTATTCAGTGTTTACCTCCTAAAATTAAGAAATTATTGAAAAATGTGAGGCCTTTTTTCTCATTTCCCCCCAAAGAATACATATATCAAAATTATTTACTAGTCACAAACAAATGTCTCTACAGCAAGAAGGTATGTCCTAAGTGATTCCCTAAATACATTCTCAGTAAACAAAGCTAATATTTCTTGATCTAGCATGACAAGCCCCAAACCTCCAGGGTTCTATTAGAAAAGGCTCCTGTCTTTTGGAATTACATTTCCCCACGTATTAGTAGCAACTCCTTCACAACTCTTCCATTTCCCCGTGAAACACACACACAAACTCCACACACAGTCTACCATCTTTGCCTCTCCTGACCCTTTCAATAAAATGTGTTGGCTTATTCTGCAATATACTCATATCCAGGTGAGTCTGAAGCACTATAAGATAAAGACAAATTTTTAGAATCAGGGAAAAATATCTTTGTTTTTGTTGCTTTGCTTCAGAGTCTTAATTTTTTTAATATTTATTTTATTTATTTACAGTCATTCACTGTAGATCAATACAGTATACAAAGTGAGATTTTTCTATCCATAATACATTGCATATTGGTTCAGTCAAAGATATTGTCATGCATATAATCATCAACAAATAATTTTCTATTTCTTGTTTCTTACATATTTTACTCTTCCCCCCCTTGATTCCCTACCTCTCACCTCTGCCATTTCTCTCCTTCTCCCACACTGTCTCTGATATCTACAGTTGTTTTATGCCTTTTTTTCACATTTTATTGATTCACTGAAGATCTTAATTAATTTAAATTTCCAGTAGCAAGTACAGCTAATACATACATATCTATGAACACATGCCTGACTATGTATAAACCTCATTGAGTAATGTGAACATACTACAAAGTAGCATTTTGCTGGGGTTATATAGCTTACTGTAGTTATTAAATAGGTATTAATAGATATTTTAATGCATTTTTAACTAAAAAAAATTTGGTTTTTTTTTTTAGAGGTTTTTGCTGTAGGGCGCGTGCACTCGCCAGACAGACAGAGAGAGACAGAAAGACAGAAAGTGAGAAATCACCCCCTGGGGGGATGGCCACGCTGCAATCCCTTCTCTGTTCTCCTCTTGGGATCTTGGACGTGCACGCACACACGCCCGGCGTGAGTCTTAAGCCACCCGGTCCGGGACGTGAACCGCAGTCGACTACATGGGAGTACAGTGACATAGCCATTACACTAACTGCTGGTCTCAATAGTTTTGTTTTAATAGATCAAAATAAAAAATTATTAAGAGAAATTTTTAAAACTTAAAACCAGGAAAAAGTTTAAGATTCACTTCAAATAGTAGATAGATGAACTTAATAGCTCAAGAGAAGACAAAAATCCTTAAATATGGAAATCAAAGCATTGAAGAAAATCAGTAATGTTTTAGTCTAAAGTCAGAAAATTCTATTTCACTAGTTCATTCTCACAGAATTAATCCCTAGTCTATTGAATTTGCAGTGTTACTGTGGTTTGATCTTTCCGTTTAAACTCTGGAAGTTAACGTCCAACTCTGGACTTGTCCCTACCTTTAGGCTGGCCATTTTCTTGGTTGTTTTTTGTACTCTTATTTCTATGTGTCCCATTGTAGTTTTCCTGGTATAGCACTTCCTTCAAAACTTCTTGGAGAGCTGGTGTGGTGTTGGCAATTTTTTTCAGGTTTTGTTTATGTAAGAATGTTTCTGTCTTTTTTTCCCCCCCATATGAAAGATAGTCTTGCTGGGTATAATATTCTTGGTTGAAATTGTTTTTCACTTAATACTTTGAAAATATTTTCCCATTCTCTTCTTGCTTGCATTGTTTCTGATGAGAGTTACAACATTAGCTTTAAGGGATATCCTCTGAAAGTAACTTGATGTTTCTCTCTTGCCAAATTTAGTATCTTGTCTCTGTCTGTGGCTTTGGTCAATCTGGCTGTGATATGCCTTGGAGAAGATCTTCTTGGGTTGATTCTATGTGGGGTCCTTTGTATTTCTTGGGTCTGGATATTTGAATGCCTCTCTAGGTTTGGAAAATTTTCTCCCAGGATTTCATGGAATAGATTATCAATGCCCTTTGTTTCTTCACCTTCTGGGATACCAATTATCCAGATGTTTGTGCTTTTAATTGTATCTAGTATTACTTATATGCTATTCTCATTGTTTTGGATTACTTTCTCAGTCTTTTTGGTGAATTTTTCTAGGTCAGAAGTTCTATCTTCTACATCTGAGATTTGATCTTTTGCATGATCTAATCTGCATTTGGTATTTTCCATAGGGCGGGCGCCACCACGCCCTGCATTTGGTATTTTCAAG